GAGCATTAGGGCAAACCCAAACTTGGGAACCACCCCCTAGGGCGTATCAGATGGTTGAAGTGAAGGAATGCATCGAGTCTGTTGTGTTTTAGAAAAGTATCCCTCAAACTTAAAGGTAAATTTTATAAGATAGTGGTAAGACCTGCAATGTATTATGTCATAGAATGTTGACCATTAAAAGAGAAGCATACAATTAAGTTAAGTGTTGTAGAGATGAGGATGCTCAGGTGGATGAGTGACTTTACTCTTAGAGACAAAATGCGAAATGAGGATATACATGAAAAGCTTGGAGTAGCTCTAATGGCAGATAAGATTAGAGAGAGTTGCCTTAGATGGTTTGGTTACATAAAACATTGGATCTCTGATGACCTGGTTAGGACAGTGAATTTATTAGATTTAACCTATGTTAAGAAAGGTAGAGGTGGAACTAAAAAGGCTTTAGTATTAGAAATGATATTTTTTTTTATTAAATCTGAACGAGAATTTGATTTTGAATAGGACACAATGTAGAAAAAATATTCATGTAGTCGACCCCACGTAGTGGGATAAAGGCTTACGAAAAGTGTTATTTTGATGCAATCAATAATATGGGTTGGTTGATTGGATTTGTCAGACCAGTTGAATCATGACTCAATAGCCGTTCAGTTGATTGTTTAGTTTTCAAAAGATTATTATGAACTTTATAGTTTTTAGTAGTCATGTATTAGCTTCTTATATTATTTTTGTGCAAGAGTTTAGATGCATGTTTTTCTTGTTAATGAGTTAAGCAAATAAACTGTTCATCTATTCTGTTTCATAACACTGTCATTGCTAGGTCCTAGGCCCTGTATGAGAAAAGTGAAGGGTTGTGTTAGGTAGCCGTTAGCCAGCATAAAATTTATTGAATACTCATGACATGAATACTTAATTTCATTGTGTTAGTACTAGGGGGTTCCTTGGAAGCAACATATGTATGGCCTGAATACAACGACAACTGTGCAAGGGCCGTTGCATCGGTGCTCAAGTGCAGTGTTAAATAAGCAAGGATTCCCACGTCATGAATGGATAAGGGCAAATAAGCTAGTCCATGAAGCTAGAATTAGGGTAAAAATTTAGAATTAAGGTTCTCTTAAAGACAAATTAATAGAATTAATATATATTATGATTAAAAGGAAGATAATTATTTTATGCTTTCAGGAAACTAAATGAGTTGAAGAGAAAGCTGAATAGATTGATAGTTTAGGGTTTAAACTATGATATTTAGATATGAATCATTATAAATGGTGTAGGTGTGATTATAGATGAGAGTTTTAAAGATAATGTTGTATAAATTAATAGAATTTAAGATAGAATTATAGTTTAAAAGATTAATGTTGATGCGAAGATTATTAATATTACAAGTGCTTATGCCTCCTCAGGTAGAAAGAGTTTTTATTGGAAGAGATTTAAATGGACATGTTGGTACCATGGTAGAAGATTTTAAAAGCTTTCAAGGTGGCTATGAGTTTGGTGCGATTAATGAAGTTGGTATGACCATATTCGATTTTGCTCTAGTTTATGATTTTGTGATTGCTAATATTCTTTTTAAGAAAAGAGAAGAGCATCTCATGAATGGATATATTAAAATTCAAATTGATTATTTTCTTATAAGAAAAATTGATCGTTTAGATTACACAAATTGTAAAGTTATATTGTGCGAAAGTTTATGCACCCAATATTGCTAATTAATTTTTGAATTTAAGTTGAAAGGGCGGAATATGAAAAATAAAGTAAAATATTGTCTTAGGATTAGATGATAGCATTTAAAGGACACTAACAAAAATATTTTTGAGAGTAAGATTAAAGATCTTAATATTTTAACTGTGCTTGAGGAAGCTAATGTTATATGGAAAAAAATAGTTAGTGACCTTAACACCAATGAAAATAGAGAGAATTATTTTTGTTGTCGTAATAGTAAACTTACTTAAGTTAGAGAGGTTTTAAAGAAAATGATGTATGAAAAATTTGTTCGTCTTGATGATATTCTAATAGAGGTATGAAAATGCTTAGGAGATGAAGGAATTTTTTAGCTTACAAAACTTTTTAAAATTATTTTGAAGACTAAAAAGATCTTAGATGATTGTAGCAATGTATTGATTCCTAATTTTAAGAAAAAAAGGTGATGCACTAGAACGTGTGAATTATAGAGGAATAAAGTTAATGTGTTATACATTAAAATTATGGGAGAGAGGTATTGAGCATAGGTTATAAATTTGACCAAGAATTTTTCAATTTCAGTTGGATTACATCAAGGATCAACTTTAAGCTTATATGTTTTTGCTTTATTCTTGGATGTTCTTACTAGACATTTGCAAGAGGATTTACCTTAGTGTATGCTTTTTTCTGATGATTTCTTCTTGTTGATAAGATTGGAGAGTTGAAGGAAAGCTTGAATTATGGAGGTCAACGTTAGAGTCTAAATGTTTTTGTTTGAGTAGATCTAAAATCGAATACACATAGTGTAATTTTAGTACTAAGAGATCTAGTGGAGGATTATGACTTTGGGCGATCAAGTCATTAATAAGAGTATACGTTAGATATATCTCGGGTCTATTGTTCGAAATGATGGTGAAATAGATGGAGATATTATTAGTAGAATTCAAGTTGGATGGTTGAAGTGGAGTAATACATCAGGCTTGTTGTATAATAGAAAAGTATCCTCAAACTTAATGGAAAATTCTATAAGATGGTAGTGAGACCTGTAATACTTTATGGCATAGAATGTTGGCCTTTAAAAGAGAAGCATAAATTAAGTGTTGCAGAGATGAGGATGCTTAGGTGGATGAGTGGCTTCACTCTTAGAGACAAAACTTGAAACAAGTATATACGTGAAAAGGTTGTAGTAGCTCTAGTGGTAGATAAGATTAGAGAGGGTCGCCTTAGATGGACCCGGTTAGGAGAGTAGATGTATTAGATTTTTGACGTATGTTAAAAAAGATAGAGATAGACCTAAAAAGACTTGGTTAGATAATATTAGAAATGATATTTTTTTTATTAAATTTAAATGAGAATTTAACTCATAGAACGACACAATGGGGAAGAAAGATTCATATAGCCAACCCCATGTAGTAGGATAACGGCTTGCTGTTGTTGTTGTATCTATTCTATTTTATGCGCATATTCTTTCTCTCCACGTCTTCAACATACCCATTCTTTGATCTGTAGACATTGCCTTTGCTGATGTGGTGCGTCTTGGTATTGCAGTTGTCTCGATAGCTTTTGTCATTTTTGTATGCATCAATAACTATCAAGAACAGGAGAATAGAGACATGTTTTTAATTGGTTGTTGCTTATCGAAATAATATGTATTGGGTTGTAATCTACGTGGACTGTTTGGACCGAGTAAAGGTGATTTGTTTAAGTATATAATGAATTTTAGATATTTGGACAAATATTTCTAGTTTAATTTTAATTCTTGTCTATCTTAAGTTAAAATTAGGTTTTGATATCACACTTCTTGGAAAAATCTGGGAGACCTGCAACTGTCAGTGTGGAATCCTTTGAAAACATGGTTGTTTTGCGAAGCATAAAATAGAACTGCTGTTATGATACCATCAAAATGTGAAAGAGCGTAATAGACGGTAAGAGAGGTTAATGAAAAGTGGGACTATTGTTATAAAACCATCAAAATGTAACGTAATGGACACTGAGTTAGTGAAGTTAATGAAAAGTGGGAGAGTATATATGTATTGACTGACATTTTATTCTTCTTATATGGAAAAGAAGAAGAAAAATTGTAATTTTCTGCATAAGAATTTACTAAAGTTCTGTTAGGGATTTGTCGAGCAAAACGTTTATAATAAACTGTTAAAACAGAGAAATAGGATGAATAAATAGAACTTAATTAAAAGTTGAAGGAGCATAAGTATATTGTCTTGGATTTAATTCTGTTAATCTGACAAAGACAAAAAAAGGAATTTATTGTTCTTCATGAGCTTCTCTAAGGTTTTGTAGTAGTTTTTTATTATCTTTGGCAGCTCAATGTATTAGTTTGCTTAATTGTGCAAAGAATAGGTTTGAAGTAGCATCTTTTTGTTTACGCTACATGTCTTTTCCTGCTTTAGCTATTGTTTCCATAGATTGTTTTCTTTTCTTATAATTTATTTGTGTTCTATGAAAATTAAATTTTTGTGATATCCAAGTTCTACTTTACTACTTGATCCTGTATATGCATCACCAACCTAGGTGCTTGTCCAAGTAAAGGTAGGCGCTAAAATAAAAATGGCTATTTTTCTTAATAACTCTATTTTGTATGAGTATAAAATTTTATTCATCATATTAGAATATATAGGGGAAATAACTTCTTATCATGTTTTGCTGGAATCCTTTCCAAAACCATACCAAATGTGTTATGTTAAAAGAAACAAAAGACATGTTTAAAGAATTTGAAGATTTTAATTAATTAAATTTGTTGCATACATTATTTATCAAAAAACTAATATTTATTTTTATTAAATATTACTTAAAATGCAATAAATGAGTTATGATAAAAGTGAATATTATTATTTTCTTCCATATGCATAGCATCACTTAAAAATCATGTATGACATTCGAAGATTGCATGGTCAGAACTTATACCTCTGCCTACAACATATTAATATTAGCATAAATTATAATTTATAAGACAGCATTTTAACATTTTGAAGTATTTGCAGTGCTCGTTTTTATGGCTTTATCAATTTTACTAAGCTTAAGTTCATGATAATATTTGATTTACCACTATGCCAAGTAAATTACTTGTTGATTTATGTAGTATGATAAGCTTGTTTTGATACGATATTTAGGAACAGTAAATCTATGATTGCTTATTGTTTCAAAAAATTTTACCTTTTTAGTATATATTTCCGTTTGACTAGTTTTGGAGATATTTATTTATGCAACATGAGCTGATCGCTTTTATTATATGGTCTAATTTCAATGATTATGCTTTATTTTTTCTTGAAAACATATTCTGATATGAATGAATTCGTTTCCATTTTCAGAGTTCTGCCTCTTAACTCCAGAACACAATGAGATTAGAGAAATGTTGGTTTTGTTCGTCAACCATATATCCTGGCCATGGAATCCAGTTTGTCCGCAATGATGCTAAGGTGAAGCTGCTTTCTGTCGTTTGCCATTCTAGATAGCCCTCCTTAAGCTTTACTTCCGATATTATATATGGGCGTACCCTCATTTCTTTAGTGGCCATGCAGCAGACTTCTTGAGCAAAACAAGTTTTCCTTTGGTTTTCTTTTATTATTTTTTATTCTATGATAAAAATAGACAATTGATTTGATTATTTTTTAGAATGATCTTGGAAACCTTCTTAAACGTACCTTTTCGTTAGAAGATGGATAAAATGTAATGGATATAACAAATTGCCTGATAATTTTACATTCCTTTATCAACCGTGATGAATCATGTTCCTCTTGCATTGGATATATTGGTTAAAATAAAAATCAATATGAAGACCTAAACTTCAACATTTTAAAATTCTTTGAAAGGAAAGGTTACTTAACTAATGGTGTTTGATATGGAAGATCACTAACAAGAACATTCATATTATGTCTCACTGATGTCGTGTTCCTTAGCTGATAAGTTGGATGGGTATTTCATCATTAATTTGCGGCAGAAATTCTATATCCAGTCTTGTTCTTCTGCTTGTTAGTGTTGTCTTCAAATACATGATACAATTACATAGTGGCATTTAAGCATTTTGATCAAATATGCTAGAATGCTTCATATCAGAATCACTTTTCAATTTTCATCAATGTGTTATGGCCTTCAGTTTATTTTAGATGACTTTCTTAATTATTATGTGAACTAATTTTTGAACTAAAAGAAAATTTCACCTGAAGGACACCATTGTATCAATGTTATACCCTTATTGTAATGTTTTATATAGCCAATTTATTATTATTGATTTTTCATCTTTGATCCATAAATTAAACCAAGCATTGAGTTGTACTAAATAACTTGATATTCGTTTGATGCAAATAAGGTCTAATATCGATTTCTATGGGGCTGCTTGGTTTTAGAGTTATTGAGATGTCACTATTATTTCTGTTAAGTGTTATTAGATGTCTCTGCTATATTATAGATGTATTTGATTCAATTTTATTTTGTTAAGAGATATTGATGCTATCTATAATAAAACGTAGTAAGATTCTTCAAATGTCGTGATATTAAATGTAAGTTAATTTGGTTTGCTTTACTCTTAAAAATAAGACATAATGGTTAAATTTCAAATTGGGGTCAGTCAGATCATGTAGATGATCAATCATATTATCTATGATTGAGATTTGAGCATTATATTGTGGAAAGATTAAAAGGATTGTTATCGTTGAAATTTGAATTTTTGATGGAGATTGTCAATACTCAATAGTGACGGTTCCTAGATCACACCATTGAGATTTAAGATTGTTGACCTTCATATAATACCCAAAAGAACAAAGAGAGGAGAAAGCAAAGTGAAAATCCAACGTCTACATCTCATACCCGACGGATCCACGAAACTTGCTGAACTCCTCCATAAATTCCGCTCGAATCCCGCTGAATCACTGCGCATTCGGCGTCGTTCCGCGATTTTTGCTCAAATCCTGCAGCGACAACTTCGATCGCCTCCCATTTGCGTCTATAAGAGGGAGACGAGCTCTCTGCTTCTCCCGTTCGCTACACACGACACTCTCTGGAATCCCGAAAACCTTTCTCCCACACGATCGAGCTCCCGTCGCTGCTACCTCAACCCGTCACCTTCTCTGTGCCGACGCCAAACCCCTCCGACCGAGCTCTACCCGTCGCCTCTTATAGCTGCTCTTCCACGCGCCCGAACTCCTCCCTCTCACGCGCTTCTGCGACTGGATCCCGTCGGGCCTAATCCCGACCTCACGCAAGCCCTTGACTTCTCCGTCCAGAGAGAGAGAGAGAGAGAGAGAGAGAGAGAGAGAGAGAGAGAGAGAGAGGAAGTGAGGAGAGAGCCTTACCTTGCATTCTTCCTCCTCTTGCCTTGAGACCGAATTCCCTCCTCCATCTCCTCTATTTCTACCGTGCCCTCTTCTTCCCAAGCCGAGAGAGAGAGAGAGGTATAGGTTTTATTTTATTTATTTATTTATTTATTTATTTTGTTTTATTATTATAATTATTATAATATAGTATTTTAATTATTTTTAATCATTATCAATAACAATTAATTTAATTAAAATAAAATTACAATTAATTTATAATTATTATAGGTAATTACTATCATTAGTAATTAACTATAATTTATTAAAATTAATTGTAATTAATCATTTTAATTTAAATTAATTATTGTAGTTTATAATTAAAAATGATTAATTATTATAATTATAATTAATTATCATTTATTATGATTAATTATAACTAATTATTTTTTTAATTAAAAAAATGGTTCTTTTCTCGATGCTTGCGACGGGCCGACAAACCCCCAAGGCGCTCACGTAGCGTTGAGGGCGGGAAACCGGTGCGATGCTTGCGACGAGATAAGGATCCCTCTTCAATGCTAGCAACGAGCCGGCAAACCCCCGAGGCGCTCAAGTAGCGTTGCAGGGCGGGAAACCGGTGTGGCGCTTGCGGCGAAAAGGATAAAAAAATGTGTTTTTGTTTTCTTCTTTATTTTTATATAAGTACCCCCGAACGCCCACGTGGTGCAGAGGGGGGAAATCTGTGCTTATTTCTAACATGTTTTCTTCTTATAATAAACAAACATAAAAATCCTTAAATGCTCACGTAGCAGGCGGGGATAAAAAAAATTTCAAATGCGACCGCGGTGTCATTTTTGACACCTACCTGAAGCGCTCACGTAACGTCGAGGGAAAGGTTGCCTCTTGGTTTTTCCCCTAAACGGGGGAGACGTCGGGAGGTTGCCGAAATTTGGATTGAAAATCCAAGGACAAAAAATATTGAATCTCATTGGGACATCAATTGAGCTAAAATCAAACTTGGATAAATAAGCAAATGGCTTAAGAAAAACTCAAACAAGGACTTGATCGAACTCAAATGAATGTGGAGAACTTGAACCTGCCAAGATCACAATGAACTTTATTTGAACATGCAGAAGACTTGTTTTGAACTTGAATTCAATCAAAATATAAAAGGATCAAATTCCCAAAGGGGTCCAAAGGACTTATACTTGAGCTTGAACCAAGATGATGATAAATTTAAATTTCACTCAAATGAAATCATTACAAAGTAACATATATGGAACTTGCAGTGGATGAGAAGACTTGCAAACACTATTGTTTTACAAGCAGTGATGACTTGTTAAACCTCTTTCTATGATGCCTTCAATGAATAGCAAAAAGAGAGAAAACGTGCAAGCAAGAATCAAGTGGAAATGCAAATCTAACTTGAAAGATAAAAGATCAATAAGGAACCTCATTTGAATGATGATACAATATTTTCAATGAAATATTGAAAGGCTATCATTTCAATTGAGATGCAAGTGATACTTGTTTGCAAGCAATGAAAAGATTGTGAAAGATAGGATGTGGTCACAGAGCCATGGCATGAATGCTTTGTAGCATAATAACTCACATACGATCGCATACAAAGAGTATAACAAATTTGCAATCATAAACTAGAATTAAGGACATATGAACCACTAACAAGCATTGATCAACGAAAACTAAAGAGAATGCAAAACTACAAGAGCAGATGATTATACAAACCTTCCAACATTATAAGGGAAAACTCTTGCAATTGATTGATTTGAGACAATGACATTGACTACAAAAATATGTATTGGATAAAGTCTCTACTACAGTTTGTTTAAGGACTTTTTAAGCAATGGCATAAAATCTCCAAAGAAATTTACCAAGAGCTATCATGACAAATGAAATGCAAATATCAACAAACCACAGTCACTTATGAATGATATTCATTAATATGTAACACTCACGCTTGTGCAAAGGAGTGTGATATTTGTAATAAACACCGTGGTGTATTCATGAATGAAATGTGAAGAATGTGTGGCAAATATACAATAGATGCAACAAATTTCCTGCATACATCGGTAGAAGAATTGTAGCATATGCAACCTATTGCTACGAGTGATACAACTCCTTGCAAATAAGTGTGACAGTCCATTGAGCAACGTGCATAAAGAATTTGATGACAAATTTGACCATTCATCAGTCAATATACAAGGAAGATCCACTACAAGTGAAGATAACATGCATACAACATAATGTCACAACACATTTACAATCAATCATTGTCCAATGTTGAGCAAATACGTTGATTTGTTACAAGCAAAGATTGATGACTACAACAAACGCAAACCTCTACGAGATATTATAAAAGGTTTACTGTACACCCAGTATATCAACCACAAACAAAAATGCAAAATAACTACAACAAATTCAAACACCTGTAGTCGGATCTAGAAGACTCGTATGCAAAGCAAAGACCATGAACAAAAACATCATTTCAAGGCAATTGTCCACAAACAAAGGCAGGAGATTAGTTAGTGCACTACGATCCACCTGCAGAAAGCAACGAGTAGTGCACGACAATCTACCTGTACGAAGCAGCGAATAACTCTATTCAGAAGCCGCTACGCCACGCCACCGGATCTGCAACATTCGTACAAGCAGACAGAAGGTGTCTACAATTATTTCAAAATACCCCTACACCTGCACCGTAGTTTGTATACACATAGGTACACTAAAAGGGGGTATACAATCAAAACCCGCATGGGCCCCGACGAGCGTGTTATTGGTACACACGTGATGTCTAGGGATGCTGCGCGGGTCAACAAGGGAATTCAAATTCGAACCCGATCCTTCTATACGGATCAATAGGAGTCGATAGGGTTCAAACCATTAAGTAAATATGTGGCCGTGGTGATCAAAATATTTGTTTTAATACATTCATATTAGGCCTTCAAAGCCTAAAATCAAAAGAATTAACTCTCAAAGGCATAAAGCCTACGAAACCCAATCCTCTGTCGACATCCAGACAAAGTCGACAAGGTTCAAACTTTAAATGGAAATAACCCCAAACACCCCGATGATGGCCGTGTTGAATGAATATCTCAACTGGAGGGGTTCACAAATATTTGCAAATGCCTCCTAAAAGTCCATTCCAAATCCCTTTCAAAGTCCACACAGTTCAAAATCCAATCAATTCCAAATCCAGATGTTTAAATTGAACTTCCATCATCAATCACTTTAAGCAAAATCCATCCACCCTCCGCAACAGTTTGCCGAGGTGGACAATCAAAATTTACTCCAGCTCACATAGAGCCAAATGCCTAGTCGAAAATATTACTAGGATCCATTCTCAAAAAGTCTTCTGCCAGTAAGGACGTGGTACGTGTCCTCTAACCGGCGGTTTTTGCAAGTGCAAGATGGTGAAATTTCTAATTTTAAATATCAAACCATTTCAACCCAAACATCCAAACTTCCAAATATTTCGAAATCCATATGTATTGCTGCTACTATATGCCAGATACACGTATTTATATGTATCTGATTGACGACTAGCCTTAATCTAAAGTTCTCTGTCATGATCGGGAGGGGTAATTAACTATAGGGGCTTGCGTCTATAGGAAACCAGAACTCAGATCATAAAGTCCTCACAAAATGAGGGCGAAATCTCTGGTTAGTGTCTTATCTACAAACTCATCTGCCTTCCAAAATTTACCCCGGAACTTATTCCGTTAAAACTCCCCTCGCCGAATAAAAGGAAAAGCGGCGAGCGGAGGCCGGGGCCGAATTTTCGGAGCCCACAAAGATAAAGTTAATAGGCTCCACAAGTGAAGATGGATTTGACTTCTAATGATCAAAATTAAGAGGTGAAAATTTTGGACTATTGCATGTTGATAAGAACAACAGGGTAAGTATGATTGGCCGACAAAAGAAGATCTAGTTGAACTTAAACTTTTTGAATGTACAAAGAACAAGTTTGTATCTTGATCTTTTTAATACTATAAAATAATTTCTTAAATTATGGTGCTTAATTTCCTTTTTTTGGGAGTCAATTGAGATTGAATATGAAGTTGCAGGAGTCCACAAGTGTTGGTGGATTATCCATCTGATATCTAATGATCAAAATTGGGAGACTGAAAATTTAGACCATTGAATGATGGTAAGGACAACAGGATAAGTAGTGCCGACCATCCTCATCCAGCCATACAACCGAAGGCATTGTTACATTGAAATTTCAATTTGTTTAGAATGATCATGTATTTTGAAATTCAAATTCATTATAAGAATTTTTCAATTATAGAGTTTGTATCTTTCTTTTCAGGAGTTAGTTTAGGAAAATATTAAAGTAATCTGAATTATTTTTCTGCTATATTTGCTTATAAAGGCCTAATTAATGTAAAGTCTGTGTTGAACTAAAAGTACTTGCTTGATGTGTTCCTCACTCTTCTTTGAAATTAGTGGTACATTGAAATGTCCATTGGTGGCAATCTCTATTCCTGTTATTGTATATCCCAGCATTAATTAATCACTCATAAGCTCTTTCCTTTTTAACCCGCAATTTTCCTGCAGATCTTCCGGTTTTGCAGATCAAAATGTCACAAAAACTTCAAAATGAAGAGAAATCCACGGAAGGTGAAATGGACAAAGGCATACAGACGATTACGTGGAAAGGATATGACACAGGTAACAAAATTTTGGAACTTGTTATAAGATTATAACACTTCATCATATTTAAAAAGGCGAGCAGGATTGTTTTGTCCTGTTTTGACTAATTTCCTGGCTGCTGTTCCTCAATATTAGGATTCTACCTTCGAGTTTGAAAGGAAGAGAAACCGGCCTGAGAGATATGATAGAAATGTCACAGAGGAAACACTGAAGGCAATAAAGAAGATTGACAAGATCAGAGTTGCTAGAGAGGCCAGACATCATTCAATGAGGTTAGTATTCTTATATGCTAGTTAGTGGTATTAAAATGGGTTGATTGATCCGGTTTAGATCCGACTTGAAATTAATTTGACCCGAATCCAGCCAATCTAAACTTGGCCCATTTAATAAATGGGTTATTCTAATTCCTACCCGACCTGCTAGCAATCTTAATGATCACATGTTAACCTGTTTTGATTAAATTTTTTTAATTATTTATTACCTAGAAAATTGAGTATATTTGATAAAAAATAAAAAGATTCTACCTACAAGTAAAAAAAATGAAGGTAAAAAGCAGATTCACGGTCAACCTAAACCCGTCTTGTTTAATAAACGGGTTAGAAAACACAATTCAAATCCGACCCGTTTATTACATGGGTTAACTCGAGCTTGAATTTTTCGGATTGGATTATGTTTTTTACACTTCATGTTTTAAGATTTGTTTTCTTACATTTTTCCTTTCCAATCCCTTGATCACTTTTCTAAATTTTGGCACAGGATGAAGGGGAAGAAAGCCATGGAGCGGCAGGCTGCGGCCAAAGAGCTGGAGCAAGACATCCATTTGGTCAAGGCGCCACTTGCTCTTCAAGAGGACCCGTCTCTTACCCTTCCAAAGATCAAAGTCAAAGTTTCTCATCCGCAAGCAGAGAATCAAATGGAAGAGTAGTGACGACCGCCATTATTTTCTCTCCATCAGAACCAGCAATTCAGAAGAGCTTCATTTGTGCCTTCTTCCGTGTTTTAGGGTTTCCAGTTTTCGTTAGTATTTTGAACAAATTGTAAGCAAGCGAATTGCTTTGATTAACCCTAAAATTAAAATGAAATTTTTATTATTATGACTAATCAAATTAAACTGATTGGTTTGATTTGGATTCAGATAAGTTTTAAGTAATTGATAAGGTAGTTTTAATTTGATGTATTATGTTTTATTATTAAATTATATGTATTATGTTTTAACTAATTTAATTTGATTTAGTTATCTACATATTGTGGGATAAAGGTGTGTTGTTATTATTGTTAATTTAATTTGCTTTATTTTAATATTATAAAGATTAAATTATATTAAATAAATATTATTTCGATAAATATTGTTTAAATAAAGTTAACTTAAAAAATAAATTAAATCAATTTAGTATATTTGATTCATTTTTTAGATATATATATTTTTACAGGCTTAATTTTTATGCTTTGGATGAGGCAATATATAATTATGGGTGTTAATTTGGATTGATGGGTTGGGTTCGAGTTTAATTGTAACCTGAATTTGATTGTTTTAGTAAGTGGGTTCAAAAAGATTTAACTTCAATTTGACTTGCTAGTAATTTGAATAATTTGAATGTGGCTGTTAATCTCTTTTGATTAATTTTTTTTGCATAACTTTATTAATTATAAATTTTAAGGTAATTTTTGATAAAATAAAAAAAAAGAATAATACTCAATGTATAAAATTAAGGGGAAAAAAATTATTGTCTAAAGAAGGTTTGAGGTCAGCTTAAATTCACTAGTTATTAAATAGGTTTGAATAATTTTAAATTCGAACCCATCCATTTTTAAATGGATGAATACTCTATTTTGTATTTTGTGTTGGATGCTTATTTGACCCATAATATAAATTGCTAATTTTTAATGAAATGTTAATATTTTGATTTGCACATTGTTTTCAATTTTTAATTCAACTATTTTTAAAATGCTGTTTTGGATTATTGGTTTTTGGGATTGAGTTCATTTGGCTTTCAAGAAGATAGTTTTATTAAAATTTTTTAAGTTGTATCTTATTAAAATATTATTAATTTATTTTTAGAATATCTTATTTGATAAAATTTATTTAATTATTTTTTAATTTCATTATTTAATATCTCATTTATTGTCTGTCATGTGATTTTTTTTATACTATCCAATCCTATCATGTGATTAGCTAGGCTTGACTTTAGGGTTGTTTGACCCAATTCTATAAAGCAAGTGATTGAAAAGTTTAATTGATAAAACAAAAGGGAGGTTAAAATTAAAGGCACAAGAAAGATGAGAAATGTGAGTTAGGAATTGGTTAAAAAGGTGTGTAGGAAAGAGCTTTTATATGTTTTATGTGCATGTGAGGTGGTTACGTGCGGTCACCGGATGCCGTCTGAAGGTGAATCAGGACGTGTCACATCACTTTTTTGTTGTGTATCGATAATATGTATTGCTGTGTACCTGGTGACGTGACGCATCCTGATTAATCTCTAGACGGTTCGGTGACCGTACACAATAATTTCTGTTGGGGAGGTGTTGGTGAGAAAATTTTATAATAAGGGAATGAAATAGAGCTTTAGAAAAATAATATTGAAAATTTTGTTAGAAATTTTTTTAAAAAAAATCTCTTTATTGCATGTTTAGATAAGATGTTTGACATACTTTATTTTTTGCATTGCATTAACTCACTTGAAGTGCAAAAGATTCTTCATGAGAAAATTAGATGAGATGGTGGTCATGGAGTCGATGACTCTTTAGGACATTATTTTTGGTTCATGAATATTTCGATCAAATAAAAAAAAGGTTAGAATGAAGATATATTACTACTAATAATAATAGTCATAAATATTATTTGATACAAAAATTTAATATTGTAGTAATAGTTGGTTGGAATTGGTTAATGCTGGTATTTTAATATTTTCTTATTAAGGAGCTTTTTTAGTATAACAATTTTAGGGTTTTAGAGAATATTTTTTTAGAGGGTGGTGGTGAAATATATTTTCTTTTGTATGATTTTGATGATGAAGGTGTGATTAGCAAACCTTAAATCTATTGTGAACTTGAGTACCATTTGATTGTGGACAAAATTAATTGAATGATTAATGATGGCCACTTGATTTGCTATCGAATATTTCTTTAATCAAATCTGCATAATTAGTGTTAATTATTTCGAAGAATTAGCTAACACTTGTATTATTGATTTGAGGAAATAAAAGATTTTATTTTCGTATTTAAACTCGGCGTAGGGAATGAAATAATTATCCCTAAGGATAAAATCTACATTGACCTATCATTTCAAATACAAAATTGACTCAAAATAAGCATTAGTTTGAATTTAGAGATTTTTCCCTCTCATAGCAAGCTAAGATAGGGTTTATTTTAAATTGAGAATTTGGGTTTCTATAGAGGCAAGCCTCTATAGTCAATTACATCTCTGAACAAAAACTTTCGATTAAAGTGGAGATTAGATTCTAAACTTATAATACAATTATGTATATAAGCAAGTTGCATTCGATATTAAAAATTATCAATCGTCTCTTTGAAAATATTATTAGATTTTATAGAAAACATATATGTATTTTAATCTGCTTAGAATGAGCAGCTAGCTAATAATCTATTTCACAAGCAATCGTCTGGGATGAAATGTAGGATAAAGGTAGTTCTATCCTAAATGTTTAAGTGACACTATCAAGAAGACTCATTTAGAACTCTAAATTTTATTTTAATTAATTAATATAACTAAAATTTTTAACCATCAAAATTTTGAAAAAAATTCAGCAGCATAACAGCCCTATACTAACAGGAATAGCGCAACATCCTCCGCGTGCAAGAGGACCCCACTATCTTATCGTAGGCCTGTGTGTTGGACTAGCGTATGTTGTAGAAAATAAAATGCATGTATATATGCATGATAGGGTAAAGGTGTTTGTTTATATGCAACATAAGCGTTGTGGCGCTCAAAAGAGCTGTGCTGTGTCGTTAAAGGGCACAAAATGATAAAATGGTCAATCTGATAGAAGTTACAATATTGCGGGATGTGTGTTGTTGCGGCATGGGCATGAGAAAATGAAATGCTCCCTTTTTTTATTGAAGAAACACTGCAGCATTTGACACATGAGAGCATTGCGGCATTAATAAAGACCACCGTTGTGATGCTCCTACCAACACAATTATGATTTTGACTTAATACAATAATGCTGACAGCAGTGCTACAACACTCAATAAAACCTCATAATTGAGAAAGTTATGTAGGCATGATTTGTTGAATGTACAACCAACAATACTGTAGAAATACACAACTTCATGCCATAGTGCTGAAACGTTCAACATTGTAACAAAGCACTATGGTACTTCTGTATTGTATTCAATGAATTTTCTCGAGACTCTAGCGCTGCAATGTCAAGTTTGAATGCTGTAGTGTTTGACAAGCAAATGACGCAGCACTCAAAATACTAATCTTGTAGCATTAGTTCAAATTTAACACCAGAAATTTTACTAGAATTTTTTTTTTATTAATTAGTCAAAATCAAATTTTATGACTTAACAAGTAATACATATGATATTTTTATAAATTTTAAAACATATAATACAACCTACAAAACTCATCAGCAACCCAATTAATAATTAAAACACAAAATAGAATTGGGTTACCTCCTAAATAGTGCTAAATTTATAGTCTTCATCCAGACTTGCCTAGATTTATCATTTAAACTAGGATGCATCACTATCACGCCTCAAGTGGTCCACACTAAGATCCTTCTTTTTCTCTTTTGGATTAATTTCATTATTAATGGGTCATGATTAATGAGGTCTACTACCAAAATATATTGCAAGATATCCTAGTTAACTTTTTGAGTTTTTAATTGAAGCAGCTTGAATTGTAATTGAGTTCCCAATTAATTCACTATCTCTTCTAAAGATATTTTCATATATATGAATTGATTATTTTGATTAAAACCTGGAGGAAAAGGTCTAGGGTATATAGGTTATTGAGGATTAGTCCAATTTCCTTCTTAATTTAATTGACCAGCATTCTACTGATTATTACCACTAAGATAGTTATCAAAAAATTAAGATAGTTCCTCCAACCTAGATTGTATGTATTAGAATATGGATTATTTTATCTTCTAATCAAATTTACATTCTTAATCTCTTGAACACTACTATCACTAATAGAATTCAAATCACGCTCTTCTAAATACATAGATGATCCTAATCCTAAACTAACTCCAAAAGTATCCAATTTCTTAGATATAGTAACTACCCGAGCAATCAAAATAGATAAGGCATCTAATTCATAAACTTCAACTATTTTCTTAGGATTCATCCTGTTAGAAGGCCATTGGAAATTATTTGAATCATTTTCTCAATTAATTCATAGGTTTCTTGAAATGACTTAGACATTAAAGATCATTTAGCTACAACATTAATAATCGACCTAAGGGATCCTACTAGTCCATTATAAAAAGTCTAAATAACCAATCAATCTGGTTAAGTATAGTGAGGGCATTTCTTAAGTATTTCTTTATTTTTTTTCAACTTTTATAAATTAACTCACTTTCAAACTGAGCAAAAGATGTGCTGTCATTCTTAAGCTTGATAGTTTTTAAAGGTAGAAAATATTTAGCTAGGAATTTATTTGTCAACTCATTCCAAGTGGTTATGAGCCTAGGGGTAAAGAATTCAACCACATCTTAACTTTATCCCTTAGCAAAAATTGAAACAAATGAAGCCTAATAGCACCATCGTTGATACCATTATACTTGAATGTTGCACATATTTCTAAGAAGCTAGCTAAGTGTAGGTTGGAATTCTCAACAGAAGTTTCCTTATATTGAAAATTTTAAACCATCTAAATTATGACAAGTTTCAGCTCAAAATTATTTGCTCGGATAGTAGGTTTATTGATACTCCGGTGGATTCCAATTACCATAGGATTGACATACTTCCTAAGAGGTCTAGGGTGGTCCTGATCTTCAATTGGTTCAATCATTCCTAAATCTTTTTTTTTTAGATTTTTTAATTTTTGTAAGGGTCCTCTCAAATTCTAAGTCAAACAGTAAGGGCTTCTTACTAGATCTAGTACACATGCAACAATAATACAAAAATTAAATAATAGAAAATAAAACTAATTAAACATGTAAAGATTTTTCTTTTTCAAAATTTTTAAAATAAAAATAATAATAGGATACAAGATATAAATAGCAACCAGTTCAACATTATAGCTTAACTTGCAATACGCACATTACTTCCTCATCAATGATGCCAAGAACTTGATGTGCAGATACATGATATGCACATGTGTGGTGCTACAAATGATTCTACATGCTATGCTTTGGGTTGAAATATGATTAAATTTTCTTTTATATGAATCACCAACTAACTACATAAGTGCACATATCGATCAAGTAATAAAGTGATATCATAGTGTCATTCTCACGAGAAAATATTATAATAATATGCATGTAAACTAGTATTGCCTACTACAACTAAAATACTGGCCTTACTGAACAAAAATCAAAATTTAATTTTTTCATCATAGTGAATTACAAAATAAAAGATAAAATACTAGATAATAAAAATATTTTGGACTAATGAATATGAACTACCAAGTTTTTCTAATAAGACTCATCTATTGATGTGGATCAGAGCATATGCATCTCTAGATCTTTATCTAGCTTGTAGGAATGTAAATTGATGTTTATGACCTTCCTTTAATGTTTATATCTTCATAGAACCTACAAGGTTAAAAATCCTATGCCTAGGCATGCAAACATTCCATTTAAATGCTCCTATTTGTTCCAAAATTCCTCCGTCGAGATAATATATTACACTAATTCTTAACAACACACATGATTTTTATAATAGATTAGATACTAAGGAGGGTGAAAAATATATGTATAAGCTAGCTAAACAAAGAGATAGGACTAGAAAAGATTTAGTTTAACTAAAGTGTATTAAGGATGAAGATCAAAAAGAGCTTTTATTAAAAAAGAATATTCAACAAAGGTGAATGAGAAATTTTGCCAAACTTTTTAAAATTATTTTGAAGACTAAAAAGATGTCAGATGAGTGGAGAATGAGTGTGTTGATTTTTATTATTAAGAATAAAAGTGATGCACAAGATTGTGCAAATTATAGAAGAATTAAATTAATGTGTCATACTTTAAAATTATGGGAGAGAGTTGTGAAGCCTAGGTTGTGGCATGACACTAATGTTTCTCAAAATCAATTTGGATTCATGCCATGTAGGTCTACTATGGAAGCTATACATTTATTGAGAGATTTGATGGAGAAGTATAGAGAGAATAAGGAGGACCTACATATGATTTTTATTGATTTAGTAAAGCATATGACAAAATTCCAAGAGAAGTGCTATGGAGAGTTCTACATAAGAAAGGGGTTAATAATCCTAAAAAAAAAGCTTATATTCAAGTCATTAAGGATATGTATGCATGAGCTATTATTTGTGTTCAAACACAAGGTGATTTGACCAAGTATTTTCCTATTTCAGTTGGATTACATCAAGGATTAGCCTTAAGCCTATATCTTTTTGCTTTAGTCTTAGATGTTCTGACCAGACATTTGCAAGAGGTTGTAACATGGTCTATGCTTTTTGCTGATGATATTCTTCTTGTTGATAAGACTAGAGATGGAGTAGTGATTGGACTGACCTGGCACGATTTATGACTAAACCGGTGCATCTTTTGACTAAATTGATGCGACTCCTCGTTTCTGCAACTACAACCCGCTCGACTCAATATAGCTCATAATGAACAAATATTAATATAATGCATAATATAAATTCAACTTATTTGTGGAAAGCATTAGATGAGAGTTTAATTGAGAGTTTTTTTTCCTCTGCAAAGCTATTTTCTTTTCTTTAGCTTCAAACAAAATAGATTCCATTGCATTATGCTAACCACCTAATTCGATTTTTAATATTATAGCTAGCTTGATTAGATAACTATGAATGTTTTTACTACAAAAAATGTGCCATTAAAAATGTATAATATTGCTTACTAATACGCCAAAATTATTTTTTAATATTTTATATTTATTTTGATTATGCCAATTGATTTAATTATATATATAAAGCTTTCTTTTATTTTACAAAAAAAAATAATGAGAAAATTTGTTAAAAAAAATCTTAATATAAATTGCAATATAATAAACATCGAACATTTAATCTACTTTGCATTTCAATAATCAAAACACTACTGCATTCTAATATATATTAAAATCATAATACAACAACATTTAATTTGGTGCAAAAAAACTAACCTTTGATAATCTCAGAATAAAGCCCTACTCCCCCAGTTTCTTAGCAAAGCCTCAATCAAATTTCTGATGCCTTCAGTTGAGTTAGGTGCGGAAATTGGACATAGAGGTACGTCCGGACTCTAATAAAATGTTGACACGTGGAATGAACATGTTGTATTTATTTTTTTACTTTATATATTTAATATATATGCAGACTTTTAAACCAAACGCATCAAAAGCGCACTAAAAAAGCAGTCAAAGCACAACTAAAGTGTTAGTAAAACGCAGGTAAAACACACAAAAAAACGCAACCAAAGTGCACCCAACGTATCAAATTTTAAGTGAATGTCCGGACGTATCTTTACGTCCAGTCTCCGCACCAAATAATTTTCGGAAATTGGGTGCTTCTTTATATCACCGGAAGGAATCAATAAAGATTAAAGCTTACATGATTAGATACAACTACAGAAACAAACATCCTTTCTGGTACAGAGTATTTTCCCTTACATAACACACCAACGCCATGGCTATATGCCCATTTTATTCATACTAAAATATATAGAATCAAGCTTCCACTCACAGAAATATCACTCTCATCTTATATTTTATTTTGTTTCTGGCAGATAAACAAGAATCTAAGCTTCGTTGATCTTTCCTACAGTGAATTTGAGCTGGTCCAGGAATTTGCCTCAATCCAGTCGAATGCAATTGGGCTAAGGAAAGAATCAGGGATGCCGAAAGAACTAACCAAAGCCAGGGCATGAGGCCTCACATTGCTACAGAGCTTCATCACTTCTTTCCTGACAGCAGCAGCATTGCTGAGTGATAAGTACCCATATCGAAGGAATGATGCATCCTCTTCAATACAAATCAAAGCATACATGGATCTTAGTAGCTCCAACACATCCTGAAAAAGGTTTAAATTTTCAGTAACAATGGTTCATCAAAACATTTAGCCTGCTATGGATCAATCTATTATTATCACCTTCAATGGACCGGTGGCGGATTTCACTTCTTCGACAAGTTGTTGCAGTATGGTTCGTTCGGTGAAGGCCCTCGCGAGGTCTTCGGCAAGTTGATAGCTCTAACATTTAAGGAAAGCACGATAAAGTTGATTAAGGTTTCATTTGGGACGACTTTCTTTCTGCTTCTTAAAGCAGCTTTTTGATATAATAATCTTAATTTTTGTACTAAAAAGCTGCTTTATGAAGCAGTAAGAAAGCCGTCTCGAATGAAGGCTAAATTGAGTAATAACACTGTTAATGAAGCAGAACTTGTAAATAAGAATGATGTTTACCAAAAGGATAGCGGTTTCTCTACTTTTTCCCTGTTGTTGATACTGGTAGACTTCACTAGCATAGCGGTTCAGCAGATCTCTCTCTCGTAAGCAGAAAACATCATTCTAACACACAGGGAATCAACATAAATTGTCTGAAAAGATTCATTTTGACTATTTGGGAATAAAATCAAAATACTACCTGGAATTGAATGCTTCTAAGTGCAGAGCTAGTCAGATTTGCTGGAATAACAGGGCAAGGACTATTCATGTGTTCTAATCCTAACCCTTTAAATGGTTGTTTCTTCTTTTGAGCTGATAAATATTCTGATAGTAGTGCTTTGCTAACCTGATTGCATTAAATAATTTATAGCTGATTGATAATTCAAAGCATATTAGAACAAAATTACATTCATAGTACCTGCTGCATGAGTACATTGTTGTCTCCCTCAAAAGTTGACTGCACATCAAATTCACCTATTGATATCCCAATACGGTTTTCTGTCTTCAATCCTTGTCCACCACATGCTTCACGACACTCCTAATATCATAGAATACACTATTAAATTTCAAAATAAAATTCTTAGAATATATGATGATCAGCCTAAAGTTCCACTAACCTGAAGTGTCTTCATGTTTTGCCAGGTAAACGTTGCTTTATAAGCACTGGAATATATATGTAATATTTTGGTTGTATCTGGAGATCTTTTTACATAAATCTTCTTCAGATTATAGGCAGCAATGCTCATTGCACATCTGCAAAAGGAACATATGACGAATGGATCAAGACATTTAAATCTCATAGCCGTTGTATAAAGAAAAATAATATTTAACTTGCCATTAATGATGAAAAAAAAAATTAAAGACATCAAATAGATAAGATTGGTAGATGATGGAATGACACAAAATGTTATTCTTCAAAGAATAAAAGAAATGATTACGCCTTTGCAATGAGAGGAAGAAGGCGCCGCTGATGACTAGGATAATCAAGTAGCAAAACCTCCGGTTCATTCGATGAAAGAGAAAATGCTCGTCTAGTGAGACCATATCTCACAGCAATTGCTAAAGCCATCTGAAAGAAGAAGAAGAAAACATATAAAATATATGCAGGTCTTGGATGTCAACATTGATTCAGCAAACTAATTGCATAAAAACAAGCAATGACAAAATAGATATAGAACAAACCTTAGATATATAAACTGCATTAACAGCAATGTTTACGCGACCAGATGTCAATGGAGCCAAGAAAGCTGCAAATCTCTGGTATTGATGAAAATAAAAAAATGACAAAAGATGACCAAAAAGTTGTTTGGAGTTCAACAAAAATGCTCAGATTTATCAATAGAAACTGAAAGCTATTAAGTATCATTACCTGATCTGGATCTTTTATTGCACTTACATACTGTCCATCAGGCAGAACATCAGCAACGGAGTTCAGCAAGTTCTCCCGAGGAACTCGAAAATTATCAAACCTAGATAAACTTAGATTTCTGAGATGATTGTACACAACGTATTGACAAGATTAAACAATACCAGAGAAGTATTCCTAAAATAGTACCAGATTCGACCATTATCAACTCCATTCAAACCAATCTTATGGCCGCAATCAGCTATGCGAAGATTTGGCATTATATTTCCATTTGCATCCCTGATCTGACCTATGAATGCATGGACACCTTGACTGGTACCATTAATATGGAGTTGAGAGAAGATTATTGTGTGGGTAGCATGCTGAAAACAGTCCACGAAAGATTTATGAGCTCTAAGCTGCAAGCTCATAAAATGAAAATTACCAATATATATTTATTTACCTTCGCAGCACCACCAATCCAGTACTTCTGAGCTGATTCACAAGGACTATTAATGATGAATTCTTGTGTGTTTTTGTCAAAGGTAGCAATTGTCTCAATGCCACGTACCTGGAGATCAGAACAAAAGTAAGTTGAAAATACCTCTGGAACATTATTAAACCAAGTGATAGGATAAAGCTCCGCTTACATTGCTTCCATGCCCCAACTCAGTCATGGCAAAACAACCCTTGATTAGAAAGTTTTCACTCTCCCTTAAAAACTTATCATGGTGACGTTTAGTGCCAAAAAACTGAATTGCCGGACCCCTGTTGTCAAAATAAAATATAGTCGTAAATCAAATTGAGACTGTAGATAATGCACTAAAACACTCCGTAGTATTGCTGCACAAAAGAAGAACTAGATTGACAGAAAGATGTATGATGCAGCTCTTTTAACTAGCTAATAGTATCTGCCTGCTTTTTAATACATGTTTGCGTAATTTAATCACCACAAGTTGTGTATTAGTGAGCAGTAGTGAATGTAAATGTATTTACCAATATACTCCAGTTTTACTTGTAAATGAGATGGATGTAGTACTTTGACAACTTTTTGAATACAATATCATTGTTATCCCAAACAGAATTATTCTCTGTTTTCCTTCGCTTGTGCAGCTATGCCATTTTAGTATTGGAGCATGATGGCAGATTTTGACAAGAACCCAACCGGCAATGCCGTTCCAGACTGTAAAACTTGTGCAAGACGTCAAGTCTCATTGAACCATGGGAATTCTTGACTTGGGAATTCCAACAGTTTTTGATGGAGGTGAGACACAAACTTCATGTAATCCACAATAGTAGCAATATGCCCCTTGCAACTACACGGGCGAGCTTGACAAACATGCCAACACCAGTCAATGTGATATACTGGTCCCTCCTAGACTGGTCATTGGGCCGGTCATTCCTGGACCAGCCAGGAATTACGTGAGGCGGAACAATAGATGAGACGGAACAGGCAGTCGCTTGGAAGAAATCTTGCCCCTTGGGGTGGGGCCCGGGGGGATTTTCAAATGTGGAGGGGGGTGTCTAGGAGGGAAAAAGGGGTTGGGAGAGGGGTGTTTGGGAATTGCTAGTGTGATTGTTTGTTTTAAGTAAGTTGTTTATCCTAGGATTCAGTTCATGCTTTGTTTTGCTGAATTTGGGAGTTTCTTAGGTTCAAAGTGCTCTAGCCAACAACCAGTGATTTGGGAGAGCCAGATCTTCCTCTCCAATTGAAGATCCAACTATATCTTGCTATTTTTCTTCATATATTTTGCAATAAAAAGAGTATTTGTGTATTCTTCTCCCAATTTTCCCTGGGTTTGTTTTCTGCTTTTGCTGCAATTGCATTTCAGCCAAGGGATTGGAAAATTTTTGTATCCATTTTCTATCAAATTGTTATCAGGGTTGTGTCCTGGGCTGAAATATAAGTCTTCCTCGCTTATTTCTGCTACATTTTTTTCTCTCCAATCTCACTGTTTTTTGCTATTTGGAGATCAGATTCACATCAAAGTTATTTTATGTTATTGGAGCCTAAATTCAGATACCTATGGTAGGAAGAAAGGTAGAAGCGTTGGAAGGAGAGAGCAGACAACTGAGATCGGAGTTCGATAAAAACAAATTTCAAAATTAGAAACTCAAATTGTATCCATCCATGAGAACATTGATGGGAAGTTTGCTATCATGGAGGAGATGATGAGAAAGATGCTCGAGGTCCAAATCAAAATGGCGTCGTCGAAATCAAGGGGAGAAGTCGGCGGCTAAGGAAGTGGGGAAAACCCTAATTCAATAAGCCGAAGGAAAATTAGGAGGTGAAAATTTTGGAGGGAGAAGAGAGAATGCCTCTCCTAGAGCCTATTCCTAGGGAGGAGTCGGGTAGAGGGTATGGGGAGAGTCGGGCGGTTGGGCATGAGCGAAGATATGCTGAATTTGAAAGGAGAGGGATAACTTATGGTCTGAAGGGTGTTGAATTTGAAAGGAGAGAAGCTGAATTTGAAAGGAGAGGGGATAATTATGATCGAAGAGGTATTAATTTGAAAGAAAAAAGGGGGATTTTGACGAAGAGTTTGGGTACAAGCGTAGAAGAAATGATTGGGACATTTGGGGGGCTACCCCCTTGGGGAGTAGGAAATTATGGGGGAAACAGGGGGAACGGAGTAGACCTGAGGGTGAGAAAGCTGAAGATGCCTATTTTTGAGAAAGAGGATGCACATAGGTGAATCTACAGGATGGAAAGACACTTTATCATCAATAGGTTTATAGAGGAGGAGATACTGATGACGACCGAGATGTGTTTGGAGGGGAAAGTGTTGACATGGTGCCAATGGATGGATATGAGCCGGTCCATATAAACCTGGAGGTAGTTTAAAGACTGCTTGTTGGAATGTTTTTGAACTAGTAGGAGAGGTGACTTGTACCAAAAGTTTTTCGCTATGCTCTAACATAGGAGAGGATAGTGTGGTGGACTGGTGGACTATCAAGAGTAGTTTGAAGAGCTGGCCAGCCGGCAAGACCGGCTTTCAGAGACTGTACTGAAAGGAAACTTTATGAAAGGGCTCAAACCCGAGATTCGGGCTGCAGTAAGAGTGATGAGACATCGTGATTTGGGAGGGGTTATGGAGCTATCCCAATTAGAGGAGGATCAGAGGCACTTGGAGAGAGAGGCTGCAAACAACAGCTTAGGAGATTCGTGCAGCTTGATCACTACCATTTTGGCATCCAAGGAGCCGACACCGGGTATTCTTAGGGAAACCCCAAAGGAGAAGATTGTAAGAGGGAGACATGAGAAAAACTTTAGTATGCTCACAGAACCAGAGTTACAGGAGAAGATGACAAAGGGATTGTCAGATGTCATGAGAGGCATACACCAAGGCAAAAATGTAAAGACCGAACTCTTCAGGTTCTCACCGTTTGTGATGACAAGGAAATCGAGGGAGCCGTATGAGAGGATGAAACAACAATTTCCGTCTTTCCACCTTATGGACAAGGTGGGTCTTTGGAAGGGCGTATTGACAAACCGGTCCCTCCTGGACTGATCATAGGGCCAGTTCTTACTATACCGGCCAGAGTTCTTACTAGACCGGCCAGAAATTATATAAGGCTGGTGAGGCAGAACAGGCAGCCGCTTGGACGAAATCCAACACCATGGGGTGGGGACCTAGGGATTTTCAAATGTGGAGGGGGCGGCTAGGAGGGAAAAAGGGGTTGGGAGAGGGTTGTTTGGGAACTTCTTGTGTGATAGTTTGTTTTAAGTACGTTGTTTACCCTAGGGTTGAGTTTATGCTTTGTTTTGCTGAATTGGGAGTTTATTTGGTTGAGAGGGCTCTAGCCTGTGTCTAGGGATTTAGGAGAGCAAGATCTTCCTCTTCAATTGAAGATCCAACTGTATCTTGTTGTTTTTCTTCATATATCTTGCAATAAAAAGTGTATTTGTGTGTTCTTCTCCCTATTTTCCCTGGGATTGTTTTCTGCTTTTGCTAAAATTGCATTTCAGCCAAGGGATTGGGAAATTCCTGCATCCACTTACTATCATGATGCTACTTGATTGGAATGAGATTTGAGGAGATCCTAAAGACTTGATTCAAATTTATGCACAGGCCTTCTGGCATCCCACAAGGATTGGCAAAGACGTGGGGTATTTTCCAATTTTGAATTGTATGAAGAACCCCAAATCGAGCAGGTACATTCAAGACCGTTGCCTAGGGGTATTTAGGGTAAAAAGTCAATATTCCCATCTTTAGCTAGCATTTTGTTAGACCGGTCCAGGCGGTCTAGGCGGGACCGGATCACGGGCTAGAATCGCGAAAACAGGCGGAGAAAGCTTCCGCCTGGGCGGAAGCCGCGCGTGACGCACGCTTTGCGGGACGGTTTTTGGAAGGTTTTTGAATGGATTTTAGGAGGGAAATTGATTGTAGGGATTGTTTAGGAAATTCCTTTTGAATTGTATGCATTAAATAGTAGATTTTCCTAGGTTTTGAGCATCTTGAATTTGGCTGAAATTTGAGATCTCGTAGATTTAGTTTTTCTTTGGGCTCTAGCGGCGTCTAGAGATTTGGGAGAGATCGATCCTCCTCTCGAATTGAGGATCAATTGTATCTTGCTCTTTTATTCATCGTTTAAGTGGAATACAAGTCTTTTTTTAGAGTTTTCTCTCGTATTCTCCCGAGCAAGTGATGTTTTCCTGCTGTGGACAGCCATTTGGCTGCTGTTGGTTCGCCGATTTTGGATAGGTTGCTTGTGAATACAAGCACTTCCTATCAAATTGGTATCAGAGCATCGATTTGGGACCATCGGCGGCTGAAAACCTGAAATTTCAGCGGGTTTTTGGCATTCGGAGGAAGATTTCTTTTGATTCGTAGAAAGAAAAATGGCTGGAAAGAAGATCGAAGTCCTAGAAGGCGAATTTGGCCAATTAAAAGCAGATTTGGAGGAAAAATTCCTTGAAATCACCGCCAATAATGAAAGGTTGGAAGGGAGGTTCGCGGTGCTGAATTTGAAGGTATTCAGCGTCGAGGTGATGATGTTGAAGGGAGGAGAGGTGAGTATGAAGAGGGGTTAGAGTATATTCGTCGGAGGGACGATCGGGACAATTGGGGAACGCTTCCTCTGAGGGGAATGGGAGGCTATGGAGGATACCGGGGAGATCCCAAGGTGAGGAAATTGAAGATGCCCGTTTTCGAGGGGGAAGACGGCCATGGCTGGATTTACAAGGTGGAGCGTTACTTTGCGGTCAATGGGTTGACAGAGGATGAGAAGCTAACGGCGGCAGGATTGTGTCTGGAAGGAAAGGCTTTGGCATGGTATCAGTGGCGTGATAGGAGGGAGCCTATCAGGAACTGGAGGGAATTCAAAAACTGCATAATAGAACGTTTCCAAACCGACCGGGGAGGAGATTTCTATGAGCAGTTCTTTGCTCTTGTGCAGGAGGGATCAGTAGAAGACTACCGTGATCGGTTCGAGCACCTGGCTAGTAGGGTGGAGCGATTATCAGATAGCGTATTGGAGGGGAATTTCATGAAGGGGTTGAAGGCAGAGATCCGAGCGGCAGTTAAAGTTCTGATGCCTAGTGACTTGGAGGAGGCAATGAAGTTGGCACAGCTGGTAGAAAATCAGAATAACCTGGAGAAGGGAGCTAGGAGCAGCAGCTCAGGAGGCTCTTACAAGACTACGACCACTCTTTTAGCACAAAAGGGGCCTGCATCAGTCAACAATAATGAGATCACCAGGGAGAAGCCAATAGGAGGATGGAGTGGGGATAACTTCAAGAAGCTCACTGAGACAGAATTACAGGA